AATGTGCACCAGAAAGTACGTCATCCACGTACATATAATTACGGATAATCGAGCTTGCCTTCGGACAGAGGGCGAAGCCGATGTGAAATTCTCGGCGGCGGCGGCTAAAGCAATATACAGCCGGCGGCGGCTAAAAGTCGGCTGCAGCCGACGACTTTAACGTGAACAAATAATTTCGGTTGTTTTAATAACTGTCAATTCATTTAATTTAAAATAAAAATGAAAATATAAGTTTATATGCACATTTGTTGCTTATAGCACATTAAAAATTATAATAAAAAAAAACTTTAATTTGATAAAAATGGTTCGACGACCGCCTTGTTATCGTGAACAAACAATTGTTTCTTTACTGTTGCCGGATGCAGGCTGCTTCTCTTTGCATTTACACAATTCCCGGCATATGAAAATGCTTGCTCTGAAGATGTAAATGAAGAAGTAAATGGTCAAAACGTAACATGCTTAAAACAAGTTTAAGATGTGAATCTTTAACGTACTTGTTTGTTCTGTCGCCACCAATCTAGAGGCTCAACCGCCTCGACTTTCATTTCCAAATATTTTCTTATTTCTAACTCTACGTTATCTTGTACATTAGAAGAATCAACAGATTCGTCTGAATCGGATTCTGATTTAGTCAAAACTGTTTGACCCTTTCGGTCAGCGGAAAAATAATTTTTAATATTCCTTTGGCACATTTTGCATTATTTTCCTTGAACAAGCAAAAACACAACGAATCTTTGGCAAACAATATGGTTGCCACTCCATTAAAATTCGTAAGTTACAAAAGGTTGCCAAAGGTTTTGTGATAAAAAAAAAAAACAAATCTACAAAGACATAATACCCTTACCACTATGTGGTGTAATATAAATAGCCTACACGTTTTTGCCTCTCGAAGACGAGTGCGCAATGTAAATTATCGTCCAATAATGAGCATTATAATATGTTAATTTATCGATAAGATTAAAAGACATATTTAAACAAATTTGCTGTATAAATTTATATTTTTCAACGGCTTAGCCGACTCAGTCGGCTAAAAATTTGAGCCGATGAGAGCCGCATACATCAGCGGCGGCTCAGATCACTTAAAAAAAGTCGGCGGCGGCTGCACGCCGACTGCGAGCCGATCGGCTTCGTGCTCTGCCTTCGGATGGCTAACTTGGACATCATCAGCTAGTTGAAGAAGTGTGCGAATAGCCAAGTACGGAGCACAATTGACACCAAATGTGACAGTTTGTAGCTCGAAATCTTGGATGCTTTCACCTGGGTGGTTGCGGAATACAATTCTTTGGAACGGAGTATGATCGGAATGGACGAGAATTTGGCGGTACATTTTTTGGATGTCAGCATTGAACACGTAGCGGAATAAGCGCCATTTGAGAATTATCATTCTGCAACACTGGACCTGTATGCAAAATGTCGTTAAGACTTTGACCATTGGATGAAGCAGAAGACGCATTGAATACCACACGAACCTTTGTGGTAGAACTCTCCGGTTTAATAACGGAATGATGAGGCATATAGTAGTGGAGGGTATCGCTATTGGAACTCGGAGCCTGAACCGGAATCATATGGTTCAGCTGTATGTACTCTTTAACAACCTGATCATACTCTATCTTGAAATTTGGATTTCGGAGTAGGTGGCTCTCGTTGCGAAGGAATTGAGAGACCGAGCTTGGACGGGAGTGTCCTAGGAGTTTACTATTCGGAAAACCTTCCTTAAAGGGAAGACGAACGACATACCTGCCATCCTTATTCCTCGCGGTAGTTGAAGCAAATAATTCTTCACAGAATTTATCGGAATTAGAAACAAATTTCTTTCTGGGGCAATTCTCTACCTCCCAGAAACGGCAAATATCCTTATCAAGAGAAATCTCACAGAAGTTAGAGACGACAGTGGAAGTAGTCGGACTCGAAATAGGAATTGGACCAGTGAGAATCCATCCGAAGATGGTCTCTTGGCCCATTAAGGAATCGCACACATTGTGCATAACCCCTGATCTCATTATTTCCGGAATAAAATCACCTCCAATTAGCAGATCAATAATGGAACTCTTATAGAAATGTGGATCTGCTAGCTTGATGTTGGGAAGACGAGCGAATAAGGACGTCGGCAGAGTCTGTGATGGTAGATCTCCCGACAAATGGGGAAGTACAAACGCCTGCACGGAAACTTGCATGGAATTGTCAAATCTGGAGCATAAAAGAACACTGCAAAGTTTTCGAACGGAAGCTGCAGTGGTATTATTGAGGCCGGAAATCTGAACGTTCGTTCGTTCATAGGGAAGCTTTAATTTGTTGAAGAATTTCTCGGATACAAATGTTCCTTGGGAACCGGAATCAAGAAGAACCCGTGCTTGATATGAAACTCCTAAGTGCATGACATTTACAAGCGCGGTCCCCAATAATACTCCCCTAGAACTCGTCGTGAAGCAGGATTGGATAACTCCGTTCCCAGAACTAGTGGACTGTACGGAATTAGGAGTGAATGGAACAGAGCTGGCGTTCAGATTGGCGCTACTATTTGAGTTGGAAGAAGGGTTGGATGGTCGTGAATGCACTGAACTATCGTGAAGCATTGTGTTGTGTCTCTTTTGGCACTCGAAACAATTGTTTTTGCTAGTGCAATTCCGGACATGATGTGTTTTGGAGAAACAATTCAGGCATAACCCCTGCTTTTTCACCTCGGACATACGATTTTTAATGTCCATTGCTATGAATCGAGGACACTTCCGAAGAATATGCAAAGAATTGGTGCACAATAGACACTTCGGAGCAGAAACCTTAGTCTGGAAAGAACTGAATTTCGAACCTTTCGGATTTGGTTTGGAATTGGATTTACCTTTGTTGTCCTCAGATTTTGAATTGTTTCGCATTTCTGAAACGGACTCAAGGGTACGATACCGATTTGTGAGGAAGGAATCAAGGTCTTCCCACCTAGGAAGTGATGTTTTGTCTGTCAGACCTTGCTCCCACAACGTCAGAGTTGAGTCTGGAAGGCGATTGGAACAAAGGAAGACGAAAACTGGATCCCAACTTGTGACGTCGATATCGTATAATGCCAGCGCAGATATACAGGAATTAATATCGCGTTGAAGGTCCTTTAGCGCAGAAGCAGATTCAGATTTAATGAAAGGAAGATTGAAAAGAACCTTCAGTTGACCATTTACCAGAATTCGTTTATTTTCGAACCTCGAACACAAGTTCTGCCAAGCCAATTGGAATCCCTGGTTAGTCAATGGAGACCTTTGGACTATATCACGTGCTTCACCTTTGGTCTTCTGAGACAAGTGGAATAAACGCTCAACTGGACTGAGCCTGGAATTTTTGATGTACACAGCCGTGAACATGTCTCGGAATGTTGGCCATGACATATAATCGCCATCAAAGATTTCCGTGTCGCACGGAGGAAGGTGGAACGAATGACTAGAGCTTTGCTCTGCACGGTTGTCTGAAATGGGACTGCCGCCGGTTGACGCTGGAGAAGCAACCGGATCTTTTGAAACAGGTGGAGGCTGAAAACTTTCCAAAAGTTCTGTCAACCGCGCTAAACACGTACAATAAGTCACATATGTGCTATTGTACTTAGCCTGGAATGTGTCTCGATTTGAAGCTACATCCTCACCACCCTCTTCCTCATCACCTTCTTCATTAGCTTGCTCAATCATGAAAAGATCAAAGGAAGACTTTGCCTTTTCCCACAAGCCCGTGCACTCGGAAATATGGACCTTGACTAACTGAGCGGAAGTCGCCGGGATAGTTCCATCGCCGATACCAGCATTGAATGCAACCAGCTGGTCAGCATTACGAATGAAAGCGTCTAACGACATTGTTGGAAGGAGTTATGAAGAGGAACTTACGAAAATTGGAACTTTTCTTAAGTCGAAACTCAGTAGAAACAGCGAAATTGTTGGAATTCTCGAGAATATTGGGAAAAAAAAGTACGAAAATGAACGGAAATTCGGAAAATCGAGTGGTTTGATGATGTTTTCTTATAGAAAATACGACCTCTAGCGGCTAAATTCACAAGTATACAACAGAACAGGAAAAATAATTCACCGAAGTGTGAAATTTACAGAAAAAAAATTCAAAAACAAGACGTATTTTGGAATTTTGAAGCAAAAATCAGTTTTTCCAGGTCTTTTCAGCAGTTAAAAGCGACCTCTAGCGGCGATATGGAGCACTACGTATCTGAGACAGCAAATAAGCCCAGCAGGATTGAAGAAATGTTCAAAAATTATTACAATTCACGAAAAATCTAGAAAAAACAGCAAAAAATGGGAATTTTGGAGATATTTCCTTATTTACAGGGCGACACCTAGTGGCGATTATGGACACTTCAGATGACGACAAGTGGTAGGAGAATACTCTGGTGTAAACGGACCCGTAATAATGGCGGAAACCCAGAAAAAATCGGAAAAAATTGATAAAAAGTAAGATTTTTCGGCTATATTCGATTAAAAATATTTAAAGGAAAATTTAAATATTTTATGATGATTTGGAAGTAATTTTAACTTTAAACTTTGGAGTTAAAAAATCGGAACACTGTGCGTTGATAGAAACAAAAAAAGGAAAATATCAATTTGCTGACGGCAAAACGCACTTTGAGTTAATCACTTGGATATTGAATCGCACTATTGAATTTCACTTTTGGATGATTAAAGCACAAACTTACCTTGATTTTGATGGAAAAAATGGATAAGGAGGATAGTATGGATGATTGGCAATTTTGGCACGGCAGTTAAATCCGGTTCGAATGGACCAAATGTATTTACCAAATATGGGTATTTCTGTGGAGTAGAAAGCTGGTTATACTGCTGTTTTGGACAGAAAACTATTCCGTGGAATTCGAAATATTTTACTCTCGTTTTGCAGATGTGGATAAGGAAAAAGGAAAGGAAATAAAACGAGCGTATTAGTTTTGTTTGAAAGAACAATTCTGGTTCTTTATTTAGAATTCAAATTTGAAGATTTGAATAGCGCTTACCAAATTCAAACAGTTGTGGTTGACGTTAAGGTAACAAGTGATTTTATTTGGAACAAAGGAAAATCGAAAAACCACAGAGAGGACACAAACGGACATATTGAGTGATTGAGCGCTACAGCACAAGCACAACTTACGAGTGCGCGCGAAACTTAACTTTTGAATTAGGGTGACCAGATCATCAAACTTTCGCATGAACAAACAGCGTTGCCTAAAATTCGACGAAGCGTACAAAACTTCAAACTTCACCACTATGGTAAACTGTTTTCTACGTCCATATTACCCAAATATGTCAGGTCCATATCTTAAAATCTACCATATATGCCTATCAACATTTTCAAAACATTCAAATGAAAGGGATACCTAATATTTTAATTTTTTATTATTTTTTTTATTTTTACTTATATTTATTATTGTTTAACAAAATGAAATTAATAACTTATAATCTTATAATTTAGTATCAATATGGCATTTTGGATAGCCACTTTCTCCGATTCACATAAATGCTTTTCGTAAAATATTGAAAAATTAATGCCAAAGCAACTGTGATAGAGCAGAAAAATAGATATTTTGAATACAAATCAAGTTTTGTAAGCCGAATATATATAGCTAGGAATGCATATATTTTGATGTCTTATTCTTCAAAAGGATTTAAATTAGAATCATATTGATTTGCAGGTGTTGCTTCATCAGTTTCATCATCAAAGGGATTTGTTGATTTCGAGGAGGATACTACTTTAAATTGTTGACTCTTTGGTGGCGTTGGATTTTCAAATGGATTATTCGTGGCTTTCATTTGTATTTCCATAATTTTCGATTTTCCAAAATCATTGATCAATGGTTTAATACTTTGTATTTGTTGAAATTTATTTGTGTTTTGAAGATTTGGACGTTTGTGTGCGAACACGCCCAGGCATAGTTTTTCGGAAATATGTTGTAAGGGTGTTGTGGAGCCTGTCTCATTCCTGGCCACAACTAAATCCGGGGATTTTGTATCAGAATACTTTTGTGAAATGCTCAAACACACCAAACATCCACTGATTTCCGAATAGGAGGACAAACATTCCCTGTGATATGCATGCTGGCAGAGATAATATATCGCCGGAGGTTTCAGTAGTTGCTTGCAAATATCACATTTACTATTACGAAATTCCATGGGTTTTTCCTGATAGTCAGAGAGCAATGATTTAATTTGTTTAAGTTTCTTATCGGCCGCCATGACATCCTGGAAATTTTCAAATGCCAATTGTTTGAGGAAAATATCCTTGGGCAAGGCCTTATTCAAGTGCGATAAATTGAAATGGGTATTTGCGGAAATCTTTTGGAGAATTGTCAGTGTGTATTGCGTGTTACAGTGCAGAGTTTTACTTAGAATATATTTAACAAAGGCCGAAGATTGGGCAGATTGCAGATTATCTTTGCTCAGGGTTTGCATCCACATCAGAGAATACTTGTTGGTATCCAAATCAATGGCACTGGTATCCATGGGTAAATCAAAACAACACTTCAAAAAGCTACTAAAATTCAGGGCATTCAAACCAAATGTTTCATACATTAACTTAATGCCGGGCAGATATTTATGGCTGCGACAAATGATGAAAAGATCATTGAGACTCAAGTGTAAACCATGCTCCTTGATGGTGTCCATGAGTGTGGTTGCATCCATGCCCGAAGATTTCCATTTTTGTAAAAGGATTTCTGCCCATATTATGTTTATGGCTGCATTTTGGCGATATTCCAAATCTAAAGTGTCCAATACCTGTAAAACTAAATCTTTTTGGCTCAGCAGCAGGGGTAGAATAATTTTAATGAAAATTTCAATTGAGACTTGAACATCCAATTTTTGGGACAAAATGTGTTTGATAACTTCCTTTATATCCGAGGAATAATGCCTCACTAGCCAATTTCCATATTCGGCAAAAACTTCAATGGCCTTATCATCGCTTAATTCTGAGAAAAATTTACGTATATCTTTTTCACGGCAAATGGAATCAAACATACCCATGTGTCCACCATTTTGGAAAATTTTATTCATATCTCCAGGCAATTCCAGACGGCGATCACAATTTCTCAATAAATCGAAATATTCCTGGGACGCCACTTCTGTTTGCATCAAGCTTCTTAAATATTGAATTAAAAATTCATTATATCGGAAATTTAGCAGTTTACTTATCACCCGAAAGGGTGGCACTTGGCCAATAGTTTTAATATACATGTTTACCGATTCGCCGATATCACCTTTTTGTAGCAGATGATCACCATAATTTAAAAACACATTGGCCACCAAATCGGGATACATAACCTGGCCTTCGACCAATTTCAAAGCAATATCATAGAGATTTTTGTTGTACAGCAACTGCAGTTTATATCTCAGCTCCTGATCGCGTAGCGTATAGATCACACCATCTTTGGTGAAAATTAAACAATTATCGAAATCTGAGGTCGGAAAAATGCACTCAATCTCTGCAAGTTCTTCATTAAGTACCATCATATTATTCTCAATATTAATGATGACCAACTGGCTAGTTCTTCGACTGGAATTCACCTGGACATTGTTGGCCTTTACCACAATTAAATGTTTACCAAACCATCGAACAATCTGTTTAGAGCCGTTAATGGCAAAACAAGGACCTCGGCCCTCTATGGTGTAACAATAGAGGGCATCTTCCCGGGCCACCACAAAATAACGTTCAGCATTTGGATCTCTTGGCGGTTTTAAAGCACAGCAACTGATGGGTGCAACCATGTCATCAATGACCATTTTGGATTCATTGTAATTGCCATTGGCCAGAATGGTATAACAAAATACGCCAGCATCAGAACAAACAAACATGTTCAACTCCCCACTGCGGTCCTTGCGCAGAAATTCAATGCCCTTTATGGGCTTTACACATACTTGCAGGGTTTTACAATTGGACGAGATGTCCCGGGATATAATTGTTTTGTACAACAATATGTGGCCCTTTTCCAGACCAGCTGCCAAATACAATTGGTTGTCCATATAGTATGATTTCAATACCGAAATTTTACAGTGTCTTGCCAAGGTGGCACAACTAACCGGCACAGCAGGACGTCTTTTCAACAACTTGGAAACACTATAGACTTTCAGCGCACTTTCTGTGGGCGATATCTCCTCATGTATGGTCAACAAATCCGAGTCGTCGGTGATACAACAGTGATTAATGGCATTATTGGAAGCCTGAAATGTTATACACTCCCAGTCGCCCAAGAAGACATACACGAGACCATCGACAGTACAAAATATCTTGTACTGCATGTTGCTGCAATGGGCTGTAATGGTGTCACGTATGTTTACATATTTGCTGTGGACATTCAAGACTTCCAGCTTGAAGAAATTACACATCTTCCACTCTAGCACACCCATTTTCCCAACTCTTCGATTTTCTCACACGGCAACCGATTGGAATTTTAATTTTTTAATTTGATTCTTATGATTTCCACGTCCTGTGCGTGGAATAAGCACAGAAAACAATTTTTTTTGTTAATGACTAAATTTTCCTGCTATCTTTGTTAGTGTTTAGCAAAAAAGCAAAAAAACACAGGCCCAATGACAGTTTTGTCAATTAACGGATTAACAGGGTTGCCAAATTAACAAAAATAACTGCGAAAGCCGGTATGTTTATATTGGCATGTTTTTGGTAATTGGAACTTTACTCCGCGCTATAGCCTTAGATACACACACTTTATACTAATTTAATTAATATAGTTGTTTCCAGTGTAAAAAAATTGTAAAATTGATATATCATTGTAAATTAACTTTTCCCACAGCCTATAAATCTCTCTCCCAATTCCCTCTCTCTCTCTTATTAAATTTACCTTGGCAATACTCTTTGAGGAAACAAAAACAATAGCAGCTGCTCAAAACAAAAAGAAACACACAAAAGGGAGCAAGCAAATATGAAGAACTCATTCTGAACTGAAAGAAAAAAATCTAATTGTGAAATAATTATAATAAAGTGCAGTGCATTGTTCAATAATGGCTGGTTTAATCGACAAAAGGTGACGGGATGAAAATGTGCAATAAAAATATTTAAATTTATTTATTTTCGAATTACAGAAAACGTAGCAGGGAAGATGATGTCTCCTGCGACTCGACGCCCTTATCGAAACGCATCAACAATTTACATTTATCTAATTTCGAGGAAGCTGCTCATGATAACCTGCATAACAATAACAACAATCATTTGCAACAGGTAGTTAGTTTTGAATACAAAATTTGGACAATAGAACATTTGTGTACCCAGTTGTGGTAGGATTTTTTTGGTAGGACCCACTACAGTTTTGTGTCGAGTCCGTCCATGGGCTCTCACCTTTTTACATTGTGTAAAAATAGTAGAACTTCTACAACAACTCGTTGATAAAATACAGTTGCGATACTGTTCGTAACCTAGGTTTATATCTATGAAGACGACCTCTGCTTCCTCGTCTCTTCCATTATAGATATATTTGAAGAACAACCACTTAATTTCGATAAAAATTAAAGCTGTAGGTTGATAAACAATCCCCTGGGTCCGATTAAGGTCAGAATCCATTGTTTATTAACTAGGATGAGTCCCCAGTACTTGGTCCATTCCTCAACGTCTCTGTTCCATTTTCTTATATTTCACTTTATGTACCTTTATGTATATCTACCATTCCCGATGTTAAAAAATAGTAAAAAAGGAAGGAATGGTTGATGGAAGAGAGTGAAGATAAATGCTGGAATTATAGGGTATGATCTACGGCTAAAGAATTAGCCGTGTCGTCTTTAGACACTTGAATCTTCTGGCTAATTGAAGCATTAATGTAGGATCAGTGTTAGAAAAAGAAGACAGATCATGTGACACTAGTTCCCCCACCAACCTGTGTCTCACATTAATGAGTGTTGGGCAGTGGCAGAGCAAGTGTTCGACTGTCTCGATTTCTTCTTCAGATCAGATAGATCCTACAGTAGTCAATGTCATCGCTATCCCATTTCGAGGTCATTGCCCTCACCTTACAGTGACCTGTGATGATACCCACATGTTTTAAATCAGGTTTCGACAATGACAGACTTTGTTCTCTTCTCCGAGAGTATGGACCAGATTCTTTTGGAGATGGTACAACCCATTTCGTCCAGCCATTTTTGTTGGATTCTCTCAGGGTAGTGTCTGTGAATAACTTGTAGAAAGTGGCACAGTGGTGGTTTATCCGTGTTATCTACTTCAATGGTAGTTGATTCGGATCCTAGCCTGGCAAATTCGTCTGCAGTCTCGTTGCCTGATATATTTTAATGACCAGAAGAACACTTAGTTTGTTCCAGAAAAGAAATTTGTAACTTAGTAGATGCTTGCAAGTTCTAAACAAATCCCTTACTAACTAACAATAACAGCGGTAAATACCATTCCATCTGTCCCGTGCTCAAAATCTAAATTTATATAAATATTTTAGAATAATTCTAAATTAAAAAAGATATATATTTTTTCAAAGATTTTTTATGTATCATTGCCGTTGTTAATTTACTTTTCTTTTACAGCACATGTCCAAAGAAGCTATGCACATGCATCATGCCACAGCATCGGTTTCGAAACCACCACCAATGAATACTCCTAATGGAGAGACAAATAATGCCATATATCATCCTGAATTAAACAAATCTGAAAATCCATTTTACTATGATAAAAACAAACTATTGCATGAACTTCATTTGGAACGTTTAAAACGATGTACGGTATAAAAAAGCTTTCTTTGTGTCATTTAATTTTCTAAAAAAAAAAACAACTCCTGGAATAGAGTATTATGTTAAGTTTATTCGTTTCATTAAATATTTATGTTAATTTTTTTGTTTATGTGAATTATCAATATTTATTTTCTATGTACATGCATGCTACGACAAGAAAAATTGATTTTATGTACCTAATTGGCTTGAAATCGTTCATCACTTAAACATAATCAATTGAAATTCGAATCCAAATGTTTTAGTTAAAAAAAGCCCATACTTGTAAGAAGCATATGTGATTAACAAATGAAAAATATAACTAAATGATAATATCTGTGATTTTGTGTTATTTGGATTTTAGCCAATCGCCATAATCTTTCAGATCTATAACCGCTGTTCTTGAGTTGTTAAATCTTAAAAGAAAATCATTTGGAGCAACAATGGCCTCTGTTTTTGGAATAGTCAAAATTTGCTTCTTATGGTTGAGACACATGAGCATTATATTAGCTTTGTATTTCTGGTAAAAGAAAAAAGGTGCATGTACATAAAAAGCTTGAAGCTTCATTTCATTTATTTCATTTATTTACCTTACAAAGAAATATAAATAAGCCCACAGGGCCCATAACTTATATTATCTATCTACAATACCCTAACATAATACAAATTCAATGATTAATTCAAACTTAACAAATAACATATTAAACCTAATAATTTATCTTAATAATTCACGTGATAATTCGAACCCTACACCTCGATTCACCATCACCAACTAAACAATAGTCTAGTAGAGCAGTGAAAAAGTGTAGCAGAAACGAGCTAAAAATAAGAGATAACTATTTTATTACTCACAAAACAGAGTATAAATAGTAACTCACATTATACCCTACAAATAAAATTAAGAAGATAATATAGTGGCTCCCCAGCCCAAACAAAAAGAAAAGCAAAAAGAAAAACCCATAATAAACCGACGCAACCACTACAAAAACATAGCCTACATATTTAGGCGAAGGTATTCAATTACTTTAACCCTAAACAGATAATTGGTATGGGCAAAAGTACGTAAGGCCAAAGGCAGCTGATTCCACAATCTCACCGCCCTAACCACAAATGATCTCTCACCAATGGAGGACGAAAACCTTGGACACAACAATTGAGGATTTCGAGATGATCTACAAAACACAAAGTTGTCACGAAGAGGCGAGTCAAAATTGCACATAACACTGTAATGAAATTGAAGAATACGAAGATCAACGTAGCTGCTAAATGGCAATCCCAGGAGATCATTAACAAAACAAGAAACATGATCACCACGACGCAAGCCATACACATAACGAACAATCGAATTTACCGCCCTACGGATACGTTGCATTTGAGAAGAAGTAGTACCGGAGACTACCTCTAGACAATAATTTACCTGCGATAGCAGCAAGGATACAACCACTCTCTTCCTAACATGACAAGGCAAATAAGCATTAAGACAATACAGCCTCCGCAGCTGAAACCTTATGCGACAAAGCAAGGAATCAATGTGTCTCTTAAAGTCCAACTTCCGATCAATTATAATACCAAGACATTTCATTTCATCAACAAATTTCACTAACACAGAACCCACAGTAATATTAAGAGAACCACCATTACCATGATCATTGAACAGCATAGCTTTAGTTTTATTCCAATTAATCATAAGGCCATTTAGCGAAATCCACGACGAAAGAGACAAAACAATAGAATTAACCAATCCTTCCAACCCAGCAATATCAGCCTCTCTGAAGAAAACATGAATATCATCTGCATACAAAAACAGACAACACCTGTCATCAACCACTGAGTGCACAATGTCATTAATGAACATAATAAATAACAACGGTCCCAGTACAGAACCTTGCGGGACTCCACATTGGACACTACAAACTTCAGACGAAACACCCAAATGAACAACAAACTGAGACCTACCTTCCAAATATGAAGCCATTAAACGACACGCAGAAGATGAAAAACCAAACTTAACCCTCAGCTTGTCAAGTAAAAGGGAATGGTTTATCGAATCAAAAGCCTTTGACAAGTCAAGGCCCAATAATAACCCAACATCAGATGAATTAAATACATCTCTAATCATGTCAGTAAGATATAATAAGTGCGTGGTCGTACTACATCGTCGCCGAAAACCAAACTGAGAACTACTCAATAGCCTACGATCATCAAGGAAGTCAACAATCGCTTCTTTAATAATATGCTCAACGACTTTTGACATAGCAGGTAGAATGCTAATGGGACGCAGATTCGGCAAATCAAATGATTCGCCAGTTTTCGGCACAGGAACAATTCGTGCAACCTTCCACGCCCGAGGAAAAGTAGATGTCATAAAAATCGAGTTAACAAAATGCAGGAAATGACAGGAAATGTATGGAAATATAAGTTTAAAAAACTTTACTGGCACGCCATCAACCCCCACAGCTCCCGACTTAACTTTATTTAATGACCTTACAACATCAGAATAAAATATGCAATAAAACCGAAAAACATCATCTCCCACATGACCCTCACTATAAAGAGACTGACCACGCTCACCCACAAAACCAGGATTCCCACTGGAAAAATAATGATTAGCAGCATTGACATCAATTGGTGGAGCTTCATTATCACTACCCAAAACACCAAACGACTTTAGAGATTTCCACAGCTGATTATTATTCATACGACCAAAGAAATCATTATAGTACTTACGCCTCTCATTCCTCATCACAGCCTTACAACGATTCCTATACATACAATATATTATTCTATTACCCTCCATAGGTCGCTTGCGCCACTCAAAGTACGCAAGATCTCTAAACATCCGTGCCGATTTTACCACATCAGATTCCAACCATGCATCATTCCTGGGGTTGACCTTACGAACAGAAACAGGAACGAAAGACAATAGCGCGTTAAACAACAAATCAAATAGTGAAAGTTGACAATTCACATCAGAAGTGGAATATAAGGGGTTGAAGTCAAAATCGGATATGAAATTTAGAATGCCCAACCAATCCGCTCGGCCAAAGTTACGATACTCAATAAATCTCTCCTCTGAAAATACAGGCAGGTTAAGCGAACCAAAAACAAAGGCATGGTGTGATATACCAGGACATCGACCCTGAGACGAGAAACCCAAGGACAAATTATCACTAGTAAGGCAAAAATCAATTAACGAGGTAGAGTTATGGGCCAAATCATAATGGGTAGGTTTCATGTTATGCACAATAGTTAGCCCCAATGATCTGCATAATCCTCTCATCGAAACAGAGTTCGAAGACACAAATAAATTACAGTTAAAATCGCCAAGGACAATGATATTAGAGAAGCGATCAAACAAACTCTCATGTACATCACAGAAAGACTGAACATCGCCATGGGGAAGATATACTACCGCCACAAGCAAAACCAATGCCCCAATATTCAACTCAACACACACCGACTCACAAACACCAAAATTATTTGAACGAAAAACTACCTTATAAGGAATGCCACTACCAATATAGAGACATACCCCACCACCAACACGACCAACACGATCACTCCGCACCAGCTTATATCCTGGAACAACCAACGATTTCGATGAGACTGCAGAATTAAGCCAAGATTCAGTGACACCAAAAATGCTGATACCACTACCAACCAGCAAGGATCGAAGCTCATCAATTTTATTATTGAATCTCGATGGGCGAATACTTTGGCAGTTCAAGTGGCCATACGTTAGTTTACCAGACAAACCCTCAAATAAGGGTTTAAAAAAGTGAGCGTCATTAATTATGGGTCCCAGATTATCATCAAGTGACATCAAACCAAATAAAGGGGCTGGGGAGCAAAATTATGTAAATTCGATTTCGCATCTTATACTAAAAATTGAAAAATATAAATATATAAATAAAAAAAATAAATAATAAATAATAATATGAAAGATTATTTAGAACAAATAAGCAATAATTTGCATCAAGAAAACAATTAAATTGCCAATGAGATCAAAACAAAATTAATATTTACATTACATGACTACACTCCCAGCAGCATATCACCAACCAACGGAGCACCACCCGGTTGCAGAGGACAACTACGAGCAAATTCAAGAAGCTCTTGTCGCTCAAAAATTGTTTTACTTCCATCAGCAAGTATTACCTCAACTTGAGGTTCATCACTATTTAACAACCTGAATTTCTTAATCTTCTTCTTCTTGAGCTGCAGGCAAAGACAAGACTAGATGCCGATTTAACAAGATGATCATTTAAGTAGATACGGGACTCCAATAGACAATTCTCCATAACTTCTTTTAGGGTTACCTTCCCTCTTTTAACAAATCGGCGGATAAGGGAATCTCTGAAGAACAAAGGAGTTTTAGGTTTATTGAGTTATATTTTGGCCCTATGTTCTTTTCCGAAGAAGCCAGCCGATGACTTAAGCAAGTCAAAAAAAAAACGTTTTATGTATTCTCACCTTTACTCTCACATTTTATTATTTCCCCTTAAATGCTGTGACATTTCCCCACATTAACCATTTTAAAATTTATCAATTTTTACAACCTTTATAGGGGGTAGATTTTAAGATATGGACGGCGTATTTATGTGATACGGACGCACAAATAATTTCACCATAGTGGGGAAGTTGAATATTGGCGTACCCTATGTCAAAATTTTGTTATTTTGATATATATAATTTTAATCATCTCGATAATCTTGTCTTTTGTAAACATAGGGTTATTGGTCGAAAGTCGACCTACATTCCTTTAATGTTTATATCTATTTACCCCTACTTTCCCAGCTGATTTCGTTCGTTCTTGTCTTGTTCGTAGACAATAACAGTTTATGCGGTTTGTCTACCATTATGCCCTACACATATGTTGCGAATGTTGCTCTGCGGTGTTTTGGCCCAATCCCAGCGAAGCGCTTGTTCACCACTTTCGGCCAAGCGAAGCAACTCTTTAGCTCTTTTGAGTCTATTTTCTTTCTGTTGCGGTGTAAGTTCTTGCACTTTTTGGAATGTTAATGGCTTTACCACATCGAGCTCATTTTTCAGTATTTGCCGAATGGAATATTGCTGTTCTTTCCCTCCACTTCCTTGACGTCGGGCTACGCTACGCCAGTATCACGGTAACGAGCGATGGTACGAGACACAAAGGATTTATTTACATTTAAATGCTGGAGTGTTCTAACGATAGCCACTTGTGGTTTTCCAGCCAAAAATGTAGAAAAACCACACTATTACGCTTGAATTCCGTCACGAATAACATTTTTTCTGGAAAATTCTCACCAAAATGCTTTTGTACGCTCGTAAACATTAAAATGAGCTGTCATGGGAATAATTTTAACAGCTGACGGACAAGGACTGCTTAGAAGTGACAGCAGTCTGAAATTGGTTGCAATTTTTTGATCTCACCCTTTATATTATGCAAATATGTTCCACTTCATTTTGTCCTTGGAACGCTTTTAAATTTGTTGAGTCAAATATAATGATGGGCTCGTATCGGAAATATGTTTCATGATAACATGTAATATGTAATCACATAGCCTCCCAATTTCTATTTACGAGAACAATTGAAAAATAAAATCGAGAATAATTTGAAAAAGTTTATTAATCTACAACGTTAATAATTAGCCGCCAATCTATGAAAACAATCACTCGTCGGCGCCGAAAAAAATCATTCGACTTCGGTTTCTGTCTGTCTTTATTCTTTTTATTTTTAGTTTTCATTTCATTTGATTCCCATGTAAAGTTGTGTTTGATTTTGTTTTCGTTTTTTTGCAATTGGCTTGCAGTGAAATATTAAAAGAAAATAGGCCCAGCTGTGCTAAATTCCATAAATGTTATGCAATTGCAAACATAAGTGCCTTTCGAGGGAATACAACGAATGAATTATGGGATTTCTGGTATGAGATCGCGATCAACAGCAGCAGCAACATATAATTGAACTTTGTCGACATGCACCACTATTTATCCATCAATTGAAGCAACAACACCACACACACACATTCACCCAACAAGGAACAACAACAACAGGTCGAGAAAGAAAACAAAAGGTCGCCTCTATTGAAAAATGCGTGCATTTCGCAGCAAAAAAGTCTTCCCCGTCAAGGTAATAACATTCGACTCGGAATTGGAGTTTGAATTGGAAAAGAATTCCAGTGGCCAGGATTTGTTTGATCTTGTTTGCCGGACAATCGGTTTGCGTGAGTATTGGTACTTTGGTTTGCAGTACATAGATACCCGCGACAATGTGACCTGGTTGAAAATGGAAAAGAAGGTGAAGGATCAACGCATAAAACTGCAACCCAACGGTTTTTACGTTTTCAGTTTTTATGCCAAATATTTTCCGGAAAATGTCAGCGAGGAGTTGATCCAGGAAATAACACAACATTTATTCTTTTTACAAGTGAAACAAAGTATTTTGTCCATGGACATTTATTGTAGGCCAGAGGCTTCAGTGCTTCTGGCCTCCTATGCAGTGCACGTACAATATGGTCCCTATGATGCCGAAACATATCAAGATGGCAAATTGCAGGGTATGGATTTGCTGCCAAAGGGTGTGACTGATCAGTATCAAATGACACCAAAAATGTGGGAGGAACGTATTAAGACATGGTTGGTATTGCGTGGCATAGAAAATTCGATTAAAATTAACTCTAGCGTGTGAATCTTTGTTAGGTATATGGACCACGAACCAATGACACGCGATGAAGTTGAAATGGAATATTTGAAAATTGCCCAAGATCTTGATATGTATGGTGTTAATTATTTTCCTATTACGGTATGAATTCTAATTCTATAGATTTATGCATTCATTTAATTTATTTTTTTCTTTTTTTCAGAATAAGAACAAAACAAAACTGTGGCTTGGCGTAACGGCTGTCGGTTTGAATATCTATGATTATCATAATAAGTTAACACCAAAAACCACATTTCAGTGGAATGAAATACGTCACGTTAGTTTTGATGATAAAAAATTCACCATACGTCTGGTCGATGCTAAAGTCTCCAGTTTTATCTTCTACTCACAGGATTTACACATAAATAAGATGGTAAGGTGTTACATTCAATTTCATGACTATACATAAGCAACTGGTAGCTTTCAAAACCACCTTCTTTTGGGTTGTGTTTTTTATGCTTTATCACTAACTCATTCGAAGGTCATAAGCATTTAATTGAGGTTTATTGTTTATTATACCTTTTTCTGTGCTGGTGTTGGTGGTACACAAATGCTCTACATTTTTAAGCTGGGTCAATGATTTAAAACGAAAAACGATAGGAAATGAGTTAGCAACAAAGTGATTTGGGGCGAGAGTTAGCGTAATACATATACAGGGTGAGATGAAAAAACCGCACCCAACTTTAGACTACTGTCATTTCTAAGCCACTCGTCCGACAGCTGTTAAAATTATTCCAGTGAAAGCTCATTATATTTTTTACAAGCGTACAAAAGCATATCGGTGAGAATTTTCCAGAAAAAAAATTATTCGTGATGGATTACAAGCGTGATTTCTTTGTATTTGGCTGGAAAACCACAAGTGGCTATCGGTAGAGCACTCCAGCATTTAACTGTGTATCAATCGTTTGTGTCTCGTACCATCGCTCGTTGCCTAGATACTGGCAGCGTAGCCCGACGAAGTTAAAGAAGTGGACGGAAGAAAACAGCAACATTAGCAGAAATGGTTCGCAGAAAGTAAAAAAACGACTTGATCGAAACCGAAACCGCGTCCCAGTGGCCGAAAAATGGCTCGTGGCCTGAACATATCGCAATATTACATCCGGCAAATATTGAAAAAAAAGAGCTTGGCCATTGAAATTCCAAGTGCAAGAACTTACATCGCAACGGAGAGGAAATAGACACAAAAGAGCTAAAGTTGAGACTTGCTTCGCTTGACCGAAAGTGGTTTTCTCCGACGAGAAAACATTCGTTGTCCAGCAGTTTGTAAACAAACAACAAAATAATCGTGTTTACTTGCCAAAGAGGTCAGCTGAAAATGTGCCACCAGAACTCAAGCGACGGCCATGCTAATGGTGTGGCCGCCATAACAGCCGCATCAGAATAAATGCCGAATATTATCGCGAAAATATTCTTAAGGGTGTATTAAAGCCTTGGACATGCAAACATTTTGGCCGCAGACCTTGAACATTCCAACAGGACTCAGCACCATCGCACTCAGCACGCGCCATCCAAGAAAAGTTACAAAATGATGTTTCTCGCTTCATTTCCAGTGCATAATGGCCACCAAAAACTCCGGATACCAATCCGTTGGACTATTGTGAAAGCATTTTGGGAAAGCAAGATTGGCGCACTAAAAAATACCAAAGTGTCGATCACCTCAAGCAAGCGCTTCGCCGGACCAAATGGGCCAAAGTACCGCAGAGCAACATTCGGGCAGCGTGTGACGGTTTCATTGGCCGTTTGAAGGCCATAATTCGTGCCAACGGTGACCAATTCGAACAAATCTAAACTTATTCAAAAATTTGATGCTATTTCCGACATTTTTTGCTTTCATTCAAAAAAAAAACAAAAATGTCAAAACTATGGCGATTGACTTTGTTACAGTCTTTTTATCTCACCCTGTATAATGTTATAATTTTACTTAGGGTCTCAGTCGCCCATTAAAAACTTTAATAATTCACAAAAAGTATTTGGAAGGTAAATATTCTTAAAAATAAATGAACGGAAAATATAGAAGTCAGTGCGAAATGCATTATTGAAAATAACAAAAAAAATCTCTAAAAATATTCGTAAGATTTGCAAAAATTTAAAAAACGGAATTTTAACATTTTAAATATTCCAAAAAAAAAAAATATTAAGATCTCACAAACTTGAGCTTTAAAATATTGAAAAACTATTAAATTCTTTCAAAGCTGTTTTCTAAAATAAACGGTGCTTATTTCAAAAACAGGTTTAAAATATCTACAATATTTTTAAATACCATTGTTTTTTTTTTTTTCAAGTTTCTTAATGTATTCCAATTACAAGTATTACTTTTTTACATCTTCCAGATATTAGACCTCTGTAAAGGCAATCATGATCTGTACATGAGACGTCGTAAACCCGATACCATGGAAATTCAACAAATGAAAGCTCAGGCTAAAGAAGAAAAACAACGGCGTCAAATGGAACGCAAAAAATTCCTGCGTGAAAAGAAATTGCGTGAACGTGCCGAACAGGAACGTTATATGTTGGAGGCCCAGCTGGAGCGGTTACAAGAAGAAATGCGTTGTGCCAGTGATGCCTTACGCCGCTCCGAAGAAACAAAAGAGTTGTATTTCGAAAAGAGTCGTGTCAACGAAGAACAAATGCAACTGACCGAATGTAAGGCCAATCATTTCAAAAGCGAAATGGATCGTCTGAGGGAACGGCAAATGAAAATCGAAAGAGAAAAAATGGACTTGGAAAAGAAAATACGGGAAGCTGATTTCTTTGTGCATCAGCTGACCATGGAAAAGGATAAGCGAGAAGCTGAAGCCGAGAAACTGCGCAAAGAACTCATATGTGCCAAATTAGCTGAGAGAGAGGCCACAGCACGTCTGCTGAATTTCCTCAATCGTGGTCGTAAAAACTCTCAGGACAGAATGCTGCCACCGACAATTACCATTAACTCCTCGTCTAGTTCTTCCAATAACATAACCGCCTCGGTTAGCACGCCATCGCTGACAAACAGCAACTCAACTGCCGACATTAACGAATCTTCCACCGCTGCTGTTGAATTGACAACCAATGATCTGAATGATCACCACAACCATCTCCACCACCATAATCATCATCAGCAGCAGCTGCATCATCCACAGCTAGAGGATCAAAGTGATCAACATGAAGATTCAGAAAATGAATTCGAAACAAAGGAATTCATTTAACCGACAGCGAAATGGAACAGATCACCAATGAAATTGAACGCAGTCGTCTCGAGTATTTGAAGAAACACAAACAGGTGCAAAATCAATTACAAACTCTGCGCTCAGAGATTGAACTATTGAAAATCGAAGAGAATCAAACCAATTTGGATATTTTAAGTGAGGCCCAGCTAAAAGCGGGCGAAACGAAATATTCAACGTTGAAAAAACTAAAATCTGGCTCGACCAAAGCACGTGTGGCCTTCTTTGAGGAGCTGTAAACAATTGCGGGGAGTGGTTGTTAAAACTAAAATGTGATTTTAAATCATTATATTTTTTTTAATTTTTAATTTACAACAAAAATATAGTTATACGAAAGGAGCTGGTGCTCTTGGCCAATCATGAAATGTAGCGCATACACACACACTCACTCACTCACTGAACATACTATTTTTACAAAACATACATATAATTATACTATATGCACACATCGAGAACAACAACAACAACAAAATGTATACCATAGATTAAGTTTTAAACGATGATAAGAAAAAAGCATCACAATCAAAACAAAAATTAAAGAAAAAAACAAAAACAACAATGTTTTATTATGAATTTACCGATCATTTTTCTCACATAGAAAATATGAAGTATTAAAAAGATAGAAAACAATAAAAAATAAATTATAAAAAAATAAAGAAAATATATTTCTATATTTAATTACTTCGGCCGGGCCGAACTTTGAATCCCCTCCACCATTTGGAACGAATTTGGCAATTCACAAAAATAATAAAATCCGTTAAAAATTCTATTAAAATCTTAAAAATACCGAATGTAGCTGTTATATTAGGGTCTATACGACGACATGGACCTGCATAGGTAACTTTTGTCATAAGTCATAACAATATTCAAATGCGAAACTTATAATGAAGCTAAAATCATTAAAATACCGAATATCGGGGGTATCGTTATATGGAGCCTATACGAAGACGTGGACCTGTACAGACAATTTTCTGTCTTAGGCTGTAGTATCCATTACGAAACTCAAATACCAAATTTGAAACAATTCCGGTGAAAAATGTCGCTAAAATCAAAAAAATACCGAATATGGGGGATTACCGTTATATGGGGGCTACATGAAGACGTGGACGTGCACAGACAATTTTCTGTCTTAGTCTGTAGTATCCATTACGAACTTCAAATACCAAATTTGAAACAATTCCGGTGAATAATGTCGTTAAAATCATCAAAATACTGAATATCGGGAGGTATCGTTATATGGGGGCTATACGAAGACGTGGACCTGCACAGACAATCTTCTGTCATAGGCTGTAGTATCCATTACGAACTTCAAATACCAAATTTGAAACTATTCCGGTGAATAATGTCGCTAAAATCATCAAATACCAAATATCGAGGGAACCGTTATATGGGGGCTACACGAAGACGTGGAGCTGCAAAGACAATTTTTTGTCTTAAGCTGTAGTATCCATTACGAACTTCAAATACCAAATTTGAAACAATTCCGATGAATAATGTCGCCTACATCACTAAAATATTGAAAATAGGTAGGTACCGAATATGGGGGCTATACGAAGACGTGGACCTGCAAAGACAATTTTCCGCCTTAGGCTGTAGTATCCATTACGAACTTCAAATTTGAAACAATTCCGAGAAATAATGTCGAATATCGGGAGGTACCAAATATGGGGGCTATACGAAGACGTGGACCTGCAAAGACATTTTCCGCCTTAGGCTGTAGTATCCATTACGAACTTCAAATTTGAAACAATTCCGAGAAATAATGTCGAATATCGGGAGGTACCAAATATGGGGGCTATACGAAGACGTGGACCTGCAAAGACAATTTTCTGTCTCAGGCTGCAGTGTCCATTACGAACTTCAAATACCAAATTTAAAACAATTCCAGTGAATAATGTCGCTAAAATCAACAAAATACCGAATATCGGGGGGTACCGAATATGGGGGCTATACCAAAACATGAACCTACATGGCTCATTTTCAATACCAAAAGTCCTGCAGACATAATATACATTTGAGTAAAATTTTATCAATCTACTTCAATTCGTTCAGAAGCTAGAGTGATTTCCGCAGACGAACGGACATTGCTAAATCGACATAGAATTTTATGCTGATCAAGAATATATATACTTTGTGGGGTATAAAATGTATATTTCGAGGTGTTACAAAGGGAATGACAAACTTAATATAACCTCCATACTATGGTGGGGGGTATAAAAAGATGTATGCATGAAGGTAGGTTCAAACTTCTGAATTTATTTAAGTTATACTTAAGTTCGAACGGTATTAATTACAGGTTGAGATAAAAAAAATACTGCAACAAAGTCAAAGGCCATAATCTCTAATTTTTTTTTAATTTTATTGAATGAAAGCAAAAAATTTCGGAAATAGCATCAAATTTTTGGTGCTATAAGGTCCGTCAGAATTTTTATATTATTGAGAAGCATGTAGGAAATCTCTTCATAATTTATATCTTAAGCATATTTCAAGGTTTGCTTCATGATTTCGCACCACAAATTAAGTGATTGAAAAAAAAAAATATAAGTTGGTTTTGTAGCATAGTTTTAGGCAGAAGAAAATATATAGTTTTATTCATTTTCAAGAAAAAATTGAAGAACTACTGCTGTTGCCTTCTAGCAGCAGGGCCAAAAATCGTTAAAACTTTTAGATTCCTCTTCAAATAAATATTCAATTATAATTCAATTATGCGGTCTTTTAATGTCCCTTTTTCATACCCTCTTTGGCTGATTGTAAATAAACCCTTATTATAATCTTCAAAAACGTCCATTTTTAAAATGGAAGCAGTTGCGAAAAGTTCTGTTTTCTTTCTTTTTTGTGGACATTGTATTCCTCCAAGTTTTTGATAGGTAAAAAAATAAAGATCTAAATCTTTTGTAATTCAATTATGGGGCCTTTTAATGTTGTCCATTTTTCATACCCTCTTTGGCTGATTGTAAATAAACCCTTATTATAATCTTCTAAAACGTCCATTTTTAAAGTGGAAGCAATTGCGAAAAGTTCCGTTTTCTTTTTTTTTTTTGTGGACATTGTCTTCCTCCAAGTTTTTGATAGGTAAAAAAATAAAGATCTAAATCTTTTGTAAATAGAAGACTTCCTCCGGGTTTAACAAAAAGCACAGGGGTTTTACCAAAAAACTTCTCTTAGACATTCTATAGAAAGTGCAACTTTTCAGTAACAAAAACATGTCTCTATTATATTTTTTTGTTTAAATTTTATTATCTTTTACAAAATTATAAATTAAACAAATGTTTTTCTTGTCTTGAATGAATGAAAATAAAGTTTCTTATAAAAATGGAAATGCTGAGGTTGAAAAGACAAATTCTTACAAAGATGGAAACTCTACAACTTCCTCCTGGCATAATTCGGCTATGAAAGTTCATGTAATCTCGCTTATGTCTATGAAAAATAGTATTTACTAATTAATAGATCGATCAATGCCAGACAAATTCACAAATATTTATCGGAAAACATATTGTATTTTGAGGATGTTGTATATAAAACCTTATGATGTATTAACATAAAAAATAAACATTTGAAACGGATAATCCTACGTCTGTGTTATTGTTTTGGATACAAACAAAAGTGGGAAAAGCTGATGCAGCCTTAGAAAGTTGTGTGTTGTATTTTGGAAACAGAGAAGAAAATCCATTTCTATGTTGTGACTTATGAACCGACAATGATGTTGTTGATGGGGATGTGGATCAGCTTGACGAAGAAACCAATGAAGCCCATAATGCAGAAACCAATGGCGGTGGCAATGGCAATCTTTTGGAACTCTTTGCGATCGGGTTTGGTGCAACGTTTGACCAAACGAATGGAGTCCTTGGCGAAGACACGGCCAGGTTCACAGAATTTCACAACTTTATCCATGGCGGGTTAGTTTAGCTAAAAGAAAAAAAGAAAAATCTTAGAATAAATTGAAAAAAGTGCTAATAATAAATTGAAAAGAAAGGGGAAAACAGAAAGTGTGAACGAACAACTTGTTGTGATTGGCTATGACGTTGGGAAGTTTGTCGTCGTGGCATACGTCACACATTCGTTTAAATGCAGAAATTTCCCCAAAACGCATATCTGCTTCTTAGAAATTAATTCCTCACAAAAATGTAAATGTTTATAAACATTTTATTTCATATAATTAATAATAAATAATTCTTTCACATTTTCACACGCAACAGCACACATTTCTTTTCTCCTCCTCTCACAAACACACACACATTTATTCGCGACTTTTATAGCAAAATATCAGAGTTTTTCTTTTGATATATTTAGAAAACAATACACAATTTATAGAAAAACAAATATTTATTTATAATTACACGTAACAATTTCCTATTTTAACCAAAAATTATACTTTTTTTAATAATCTTTACAAAAACACAACGCACCTAGTTTTCGCTGCAGCAAGAGAAGTAACACGAATGAAGTACGTTTTAATTGTTGTATTGACGAAGACACGAATAAGATTGTTTGACACTTGTCAACGAAGTATACGAAGACACGACAAACGACGTGGCAACAGTGTTGCCAGCTTATTGGAAATAAATCAAATAAAAATTGCTCTACATGTTTTTTTCTTTTATTGATGAATAAAAGTAAGGTCAATAAATTGAATTACTTTAACAACAAAACCACAAATAAATAAATCATATTCTATTTAGGTTTTTTATTCATATTTCTAAAAATTTATAAGCCGTATTAGCAATAATTAATGTGGCAACATATCATCTTACAAAGACAGCTGTCAAATTATTTTTGTTATGTCTTTTGAACTGTTTGACATTAAAATCTTTAAAATGTTGCCAGAAAGTAGATTTTGTGTACCTAATCTTCAACTGCGAAGGGTATTTTTATTGGAGAATTCATGGTAGAATCAAGGATGTAAGGTCATGCAATCAAATGTTTAGAAAATGCAGAGATTGGTATGCTTATTTGAAATGACTTTACCTTCTTAATTTTACCATGGAAGAATTATGAAAGTAACATTTTTAAAAAAAAAAAATATTAATTTAACATCATCTCATTGCCAAAATGTATATTTATAAATCGATTGTATGTACACATATCAGAGATGGAAACCTGTTTTCTATACGATGCAACTCGACAATGTAACAGAAAATGCCAAAATGTATATGATTACTTGCAATGACTCACTAATTCCCAGAAATACAGGGTGGGAAGAAAAAAAACTGCCACCAACTTTAGACTGCTGTCATTTCTAAGTCACTCGTCCGACAGCTGTTAAAATTATTCCAGTGACAGCTCATTATATTGTTTACAAGCGTACAAAAGCATTTTGGTGAGAAATTTCCAGAAAAAAGTTATTCTGAGAATTCAATAGTGTTAGTGTGATTTCTTTATATTTAGCTGGAAAATCACAATTGGCTATCGTTAGAGCACTCCAGCATTTAAATGTGAATAAATCTTTTGTGTCTCGTACCATCCCTCGTTCCCGTGATACTGGTAGCTTAGCCGGTCAGAAGAAAACAGCAACATCAGCAGAAGAGGCTTGAAAAGTAAAGAAGCGACTTGACCGCAGACCTTGGACATTCCAACAGGACTCAGCACCATCGCACTCAACACGCGCCACCCAAGAATTTTTACAAAATGAGGTTCCTCGCTTCATTCCCAACGCACAATGGCCTCCAAAATCTCCGGATACCAATCCGTTGGACTATTGCGTCTGGAGTATTTTGGGAAGCAAGTTTGACACTAAAAAAGCGCTTCGCCGGGAATGGGCCAATTACCGCAGAGCAACATTCGGGCATCGCCAAAGGTGACCAATTCGAAGAAATCTAAACTTATTCTAAAATTTGAAGCTATTTTCGACATTTTGCTTTCATTCAATAGAATTTAAAAAAATGTAAATATTATGGTGTTTGTCTTTGTTGCAGTTTTTATATCTCACCCTGTAATTTGTCTGTTCAAGAACTGCAAGAATGTAAAAGTGTCTACTACGGTAACCGATATTCCCTTTATGATATCGAAAAAAATTACAAAAATAGTAGTTACTTGCAGGTTCTGGAAAAGAGCAAATGTGTATACTAATTTACCATGTTATAACCATGGTACAATAAAAAGGTAAGGTAGAGCTACCAGCTGATTACAATTTTTTTCTAAGTGTGCTCGACTTCTGCCTATTTTGTGTATGTATTTATAGTTTCGGCAAATAGAAACAAAATATTTTCAAAATTAATGATTGGTAGAAACTTAAATTGCGGGACGCGCATTATTGATATAAACCAGTATTGCGGTTCTCTACAGGTTCAAGTACATAAGAAGCTTAAAGTCATGGCTACGCATATTTTCCGACATTTTATAAAGGGATTACAGAGCCGCACTAAAATTCTGCCGTCGTTTTCCATTATAATTTAACATTAGCCATGACTTCAAGCTCTTTGTGTACTTGCACCCTAACTCATTTTTTGAGTTACCGACAAAAATCGGTAACTTTCAAATGCAAAATTTGATATACCAAAGAAATAAAAGTTGATAACATTGGTATCTATCGGTAGGCCTTAGCGACTACTTTAATTTCGTCGCTAACTTACCGACAAATATCATTAATTACCAAAATTATAAGCATTTTAATTTTATTGTACCATGGTTATAACCATGGTAGAAGAACATAGGTAGATGCATTAACGCTTGGGAAGATTGATATGTCAAAATTTTTAAAATGTTTTGCGAAAACTAAGTAGATTCTTATATGTTTTCTTATACGACGATATCGGCGGATGTTATCATATGTGTTTTTCAACATTTTTTACAAATTTCAACAATTTTTCATTCAAAAATTTTCAATTTCAAAATCGGTTTGACAGTTCATTGTCCCAGCAGCTGTGTCGATGCGACTACCTGCATTTTTCTACCATGATTATAACCATTTAAAGTTGTTTGAAAATAAATAACTGTTTGACGTTGCACGGAACTTTGAAAATCAGAGTTCATTTATAGTTATAGCCATGGCTCAATAAGATAGTTTGTTCAACTTCACAGAAACTAGAAAAATGCAACTCTGTGCTGGAGTCTCATAGTGCCAAATATACTTTTAAATATGCAACAGTAGGTTTTGTTAATTTTTTTTAACAAAATTCTTATATTGGGGAAACCCGCGAAACAAAAATGGAATTTCGGGGTTATTCCACAAGATGAAATCTAAAATAGTAGGATAATACAGTTTGATCACAAAATTGTACAATTTGTCATCTATTTACGTTGAAAATTTGCATTTATTTTGCAACCAAATTTGAAATAATTATTGTATTTTTTATTCAAAACAATAGACACACATACACAAAATGTGTATATGTTTATTCGGGGCACCAAAAGAAAAAAAATGTATTTGGGGGGTAGATTTGTTCTACCTTCTGTAATTGTTATGGTTACAGCAAAATATAAGCAATTCGTCATACGCAAATATTTTAGATATACTGTACTTGACTTTTTACTGTTTCCTTATCAAAAAAAAATGTAGTAAAACCCAAGCAAATGTGTATGGCATTTTCTTTTTTGTTTTCTTTCGAAACGAGCTTAATTATCTGTAATTTGGAGTGAAATGAACGGTCCGGGTGTTAATTGGTAACAGTGTGACATCTATTGACGAATAGTAAAGGAGAAACGGTATGATATGAAGAGCATTGCCAGACGTAAAAGTCTTGACTGTTTTAGTTTGCTTTTATTCATGAATTCAAAATGTTATTTATAAAATATGGGGAATATGGAGAGTTGTTTTACCCAAATTCAAGGAGCTAGGATCAGTATTCAATCTTTATTACATTTATTTATATATAACTTCAACATAACACTATGCACCAATGTAGGTATAGTGTTTGTTATTGATCATCGTATCCGCTTATCTTTTAAATATTTTGGAATTTGTTGATAAGAGACAATAAAAAGCCATTGCACTAAGTGTCTGATTTCGTTGATGCGATACATTCTTTTTGAAAAATTGGTGTAAAACAAAATAAACAAACGACAAATGTTTGTCACAATAAAAATACGCTTATCAACGACGACGCTCACTCATTGTGTGATACGATTCTTTGTTTGAGTCATTGATATGTGGTTTTTGTTGTTGCTATCGTTAAAAAGAAAACAAAAAAGAAGAAGACGGAAAACAAACTAATTGTATTACTAAAGAAAACAACGAAAAAAATAACAACAACCAGAACAATGAACAAATAACTACTGACGTACTTGCATATGGGTCTTAAAAACTATTAATAGGTATGTCTGTATGTATGTACACTTGAGTGTGTAAAAAAGTGAGAATTAATTGAATTGACGAAAAACGGAAATGCATATAGTGTTTACACAAACACCCACGATATGTTTGTACTTACACACACATGCACACACTAGCACACTGTATACTTTGTCAAAATTTGCTACAGATGACAAATACAGCATACCCAGTCTCGTCTCTAATAAACCTCCAGCCATTGTCCATTAACATGTACCTCACAATATTGTTTATTCTTTATTTAATTTAATTTTGTTTAACGCACACACACACACATCCACACATTAAGAGATTATTTCTTCTCTCGTTTTGTCTCAAAAAACATCGAACGACAACGACTAGGGAGGTTTGGAAAATTTTGCACTGCACTACAGCCATTGTCACGATTTTACAAGCGACGACAACATCCAAGTCTCATTCGTTTCGTTTCATTTGAAAATTGGCATTCGTTGGGTCGAGACACAGGTTTTATTCTTTGCCTTAACGCGTAGTTTCTTTCCATTAACAAAGCAGAAGTGTGCATTTATCTACACAACTTAATAAAAAAAAACAAATATTATTAAAAATGAAACAACAATTTGGAATCCTGACCATTTTCATTGTAGCTGGATTATTTTTGGATAATATCAATGCATTACAGTTTACCGATTGTGGTGAGTATTGAAAATAAAGACAATTTTTCGGAAATAGCAATGTGAGAGAGTTAGGATGTAGGCATGGTACAATAAGGAGGTAGAAAAGCTTCGTAAAATTACAGAAATACAGCCCTGAGGCTATGCCAACTTACTGTCAAATTGTTATTACCTATTCAATATTCTTCCTCATTTTTAAAATTAGTTAAACAGCGCGAAAAAGGAATGAAATGCCAGGAATTTCTTTCAAAAATATGATTTAAATAGTTGGATTTTTCAACTACATGGCAAAACTGGCGAATAGCTTAAATGTGCGTCCCGCAATCGGACGCGTCATCCAATTATTGATTTTGAAAACATTTTGTTTTTATTTTTCAAAAGAATAAATACATACACAAAATTGGCAGAAGTCGGGCACACTTAGAAAAAAAATTGTAATCAGCTGGTAGCTCTACCTAACCTTTTTATTGTACCATGGGTGTGAGTACATAAAAGCTTGAAGTCATGGCTAGGCATATTTTGTGACAATTCATAAAGGGATTACAGAGCCGCACTAAAATCTTGCCGTCGTTTTGCATTATAATTTGACATTAATATGCCTAGCCATGACATCGAGCTTTTTATGTACTGGCACCTCAATATTTACCTATATTGGGTCTGTCTGGTTACTTTTCCTGCAGGAATTGTCCAGTAACATCTTTCTGAGAGAGAGTAAGGTAGTTTTTATTCTCTTTTGCAACGAAAATGCGAAAAGTAAACAGACCTGCAGAAGCTTGCAACTAATCAGCTGATTTGTCAAAACAAATCAATTTGTCCCCCATTAAAAGAAAGAAAGCACCACCAATTTTACAATTTTATAAATAAAAAGGAAATTATCAATAAAAAATATGAGTAATAAAAGAAAGAGAGATCCGGAATCCTTTAAACGTGTTGCTAATGGCATTTGTCTAAAAATGTTGGAAATGTTCTTTTATTTTCTTATTGCATATTAATATTTAAACAATTAGTCTCGCTAATTCGAAAAACATATTTTCAAATTGAAAGCACAAAAAGAAATAAACAAACAATAGGAAACATCTGATTGAATGTCGATGAATGAGAAGAAGAAGAGTTGCAAGTGATTGCAAGAATAAATTTGTCGAGCAAGAATTTGCAAACTCTCACTGAAAGAACTGTCAAAATTTCTCTCTCCAAACGCTATCTTTTTCAGAACTTTCGGGTTAACAGACAACTTTCAGTAAAAATTTGTAACCATTGTTACAAATTTTAGGGTATCCAGACACACAAAATAACTTTATTACAAAATGCAGGGTGAGATAAAAAAATGCAACAAAGTCAAACGTCATAATTTTTTAATTTTTTTATTTTTAATTTTATTGAATGAAAGCAAAAAATGCCGGAAATAGCATCAAATTTTAGAATAAGTTTAGATCTGTTCGAATTGTTCACCATTGGCACGAATTATGCCCTTCAAACAGCCAATGAAATCGTCACACGCTGCCCGCATGTTGCTCTGCGGCATTTCGGCACATTCCTGGCGAAGCGCTTGCTTGAGGTGATCGATCGACACTTTGGTATTTTTATTTAGTGCCAACCTTGCTTTCTAAAATACTCCAGACACAATAGTCCAACGTATTGGTATCCGGAGATTTTGGTGGCCATTGTGCGCTGGAAATGAAGCAAGGAACTTCATTTTGTAAACATTCTTGGGTGGCGCGTGCTGAGTGCGATGATGGTGCTGATGCCTGTTGGAATGTCCAAGGTCTGCGGCCAAAATGTTTGCCTGCCCAAGGCTTTAATACACCCTCCAGAATATTTTCGCGATAATATTCGGCATTTATTCTAATGCCACGGTCGATTAATAAAAGCGGAGAGGGACCATCGGCTCTTATGGCGGCCTACATGGCCGGCGCTTGAGTTATTCTGGTGGCCAAACGAAGGTGAACACTTTCAGCTGACCTCTTTGTGCAAAAACACGATCAATTTGTTTGTTTACAAACTGCTGGACAACGAATGTTTTCTCAACGGAGAAAACCAGATTCAGCAGTTCACGGCCAAGCGAAGCAACTCTTTAGCTCTTTTGAGACTATTTTCTTTCTGTTGCGGTATAAGTTCTTGCACTTTTGAATTTCAATGGCGAGCTCATTTTTCAAAATTTGCCGGAATGGAATATTGCGATATGTTCAGCTCGCGAGCCATTTTTCGGCCACAACAATGCGGGTTTTAATCAAGTCGCTTCTTTACTTTCTGCGAACCATTTCTGCTGATGTTGCTGTTTTCTTCCATCCACTTCCTTGACGTCGGGCTACGCTTCCAGTACCACGGTAACGAACGATGGTACGAGACACAAAAGATTTATTCACGTTTAAATGCTGGAGTTATCTAACGATAGCCCCTTGTGGTTTTCCAGCCAAATATAAAGAAATCACACTATCACGCTTGAATTCCATTACGAATAACTTTTTTTGTGGAAACTTATCAACAAAATGCTTTTGTGCGCTTGTAAACAATATAATGAGCTGTCACTGGAATAATTTTAACAGCTGTCGGACGACGAGGCTTAGAAATGACAGCAGTCTGAAGTTGATAGTAGTTTTTTCATCGAAAGAACATTTTAGTTTATTGTTTTTAGTGTTTCCGAATTGAGCCAAAATGTTTAAGAATTCTTCATTTTAGGTGAATGGAAGAAATGTTTCACATCAAATTTCCCGAGAGGTCATCAAGCAACAGAAACCTGAAACTATAATTAAGCTGTTTCAAAACTACAAATTATATAACATTTTACTATGATAGGCGATTTTCCCTTTATGATATCGTAAAAAAATCCAAAAATTGTTGATTCTTGCAGGTTCTGGAACAGAGCAAATATTTTATTACAATTTTTTTAATGGGTTCATTATAAATAATAGTTTTTTACCTTAATCTCTTAGACGTTGTGAACCGGGCCATAATCATTTAAGTTCATCAATAATCAATAATACCATATTACGCTGGCCAACAGAAATCTGTTAATAATAATAAAAATACATTAAGATAAAAATTTTAAAGAAATTTGAAGTTCAATGAAGTTTTCTTGTTTTCGCATTTTTTTTAAATGAGTTAAAACTCTCCAGATTTATTCGTTGTAGGTAGGTAGGTGGTTGCAAGAGGAGATATATTCCATATCTAATTTTACTTTAAGCCTTAAAGTTTAAGGCGTTGATCACAAGTAATAAAAAAATATAAAATTTATCCTTTAAGACAAATATATTAAATTTGAAGAAACTGTTGAAACAAAAACCAAACTGTGATTCTCATATGAAAAGAGAAGAGAGAGGTGAAAATCAAAACATAAACCCTCTATAGGTTATATGAATCACTTGTGTATGCAGTAACAAGAACCCACAAAAAACAGAACTGTTAATCACATAATTGAACAAGCTTTAATTAAACAATTAATATTTTCTTAAAAATATCACGTAATCTTGTTCTAGAAAAACATGATCCCTTTTTTTTTCTTTTGTGAGTAATTGTAAACATCTTTGCTATCGTTGAGGGCCGCTAGTTTTTCTTATTTATGTACACACACATAAGTATATACGTGCATAAAAGCTTAATTGATGTTTTCCTTTTCTTTTTTCTCCTCTTTTATAGGCTCCAAAACGGGCAAATTTACAAAAGTCTCGGTCTCCGATTGTGATACAACAAAAAATGAATGTATATTGAAACGCAATTCGACGGTGTCCATTACCATTGACTTTTCGTTGGGTAAGCAGAGTGTGATCATGAACCTACGATAAAGAGAAAAAAACATTAATTATTTTGTTTTTAGCTGAAGATGTCAAGGCAATCCAAACAGTGGTGCATGGCAAGGTGATGGGTGTTGAAATGCCATTCCATTTACAAAATCCTGATGCCTGTGTTGATAGTGGCCTCAAGTGCCCATTGGATAAGGGTGAAACCTATGAATACACAGCCAGTTTGCCCGTCTTGAAAGCCTATCCCAAGGTTAATGTTATGGTCAAATGGGAATTGAAAGATCAAAATAATGAGGACATTGTATGTGTAGAAATTCCCGCCAAAATTCAATAAATCCTGACTTCAAGGAGTATTATACAAAACCAAAAAAAAAAAAAAGAATTCTCAAATCTACATTATTATTTTTAATGAAAAAAGAAAATAAATGTTTTATGTTTTATAAATAATATATACGGATTTTTCTTGTTACAAAAGCGTGAGCAAAACCATTGTACACTGAACTATCTAACAACTTTTCTATAGAAACATTTTTTATCGAACGACTTTTCTATCAAAAGAGGCTGTCATCGAATAAGTTTACAAAGGAAAAAGTTGTAATCGAATGATTTTTCCATTGAAAAAGTTATGATCGAAAGATTTTGCATTGAAAAATTTGTCATCGAACATCTTCTCTATAGAAAAATTTGTTGTTCGATAACAACTTTTCCTATAGAAAAGTAGTTCGATAACAACTTATTCTGTAGAAAAGTTGTTCGATAACAAAATTATTGATAGAAATGTTGTTCGATAACAAAATTATCTATAGAAAAGTCCTTCGATAACAAATTTACTATAGAAAAAGTTGTTATCGTACAAATTTTCTATAGAAAAGGTTATTATCGAACAGCATTTCTACAGAAAAATTTGCTATCGAACAACTTTTCTATAGAAACAGTTGTTATCGAACAATTTTACTACAGAAAAAATTGTTATCGAACAACTTTTCAATAGAAAACGTTGTTATCGAAACACATTTCAATAGAAAATGTTGTTATCGATCAACTTTTCTATAGGAAAAGTTGTTATCGAACAACTTTTCTATAGAAAAAGTTGTTATCGAACAACTTTTCTATAGAAAAAGTTGTTATCGAATAACTTTTCTGTAGAAAAAGTTGTTATCGAATAACTTTTCTATAGAAAAAGTTGTTATCGAATAACTTTTCTATAGAAAAAGTTATTATCGAACAAATTTTCGATAGAAAAACTTGTTATCGAACTACTTTTCTATGGAAAATGTTGTTATCGAACAACTTTTTTATAGAAAATGTTGTTATCGAACAACTTTTCTATAGAAAATGTTGTTATCGAACAACTTTTCTATGGAAAATGTTGTTATCGAACAACTTTTCTATGGAAAATGTTGTTATCGAACAACTTTTTTATAGAAAATGTTGTTATCGAACAACTTTTCTATAGAAAATGTTGTTATCGAACAACTTTTCTATGGAAAATGTTGTTATCGAACAACTTTTCTATAGAAAATGTTGTTATCGAACAACTTTTCTATAGAAAATGTTGTTATCGAACAACTTTTCTATAGAAAATGTTGTTATCGAACAACTTTTCTATAGAAAATGTTGTTATCGAACAACTTTTCTATAGAAAGTTTTGTTATCGAACAATACTTCTATAAAAAATATATTTATCGAACAACTTTTCTATAGGAAAAGTTGTTATCGAGAAAATGTTGTTATCGAACAATTTTTCTATAGAAAAAGTTGTTATCGAACAACTTTTCAGTAGATAATGTTGTTATCGAACAACTTTTCTAAAAAAATATTTTTATCGAATAACTTTTCTATAGAAAACGTTGTTATCGAACAACTTTCCTGTAGAAAACGTTCTTATCGAACAACTTTCCTATAGAAAAAGTTGTTATCGAACAACTTTCCTATAGAAAAAGTTGATATCGAACAACTTTCCTATAGAAAAAGTTGATATCGAACAACTTTCCTATAGAAAAAATTGTTATCGAATAACTTTCTTATGGAAAAAGTTGTTATCGAACAAATTTTCTATAGAAAAAATTGTTATCGAACAAATTTTCTAAAGAAAAAATTGTTATCGAACAACTTTCCTATAGAAAAAATTGTCATCAAAAACTTTTCTATAGGAAATTTTGTTATCGAACATCTTCTTTAAAAATAAATGTTTTCGAATATATTTCTAAAGAGAACATATGACATTTTTCCCTAAAAAAACAAAGGGTTAAAAAATTGAAAAAGCGGCTATCGAGCAATTGTTCTTCTCACAATAAATATGACTTCCAGCTTGTAAAATAAACAACAAATGTATAGAACATATAGAAAATTCAATTTATTTTTGCATAGCACATATTTTTATGTAAAATATATTCGAATTATACAATGTAATATATATCTGTAATATTATTGACATTTTAAATTCTTGCGGCTTACCTTATAAACAATCAAATCACTTAAGGTTAGATGAGGCGAATGTTTGTCAATAGAAAATTGTGGATTTTAATGAAATTGAAAGTTATTAATAATATGTTTATGAAAAAAAATGGTTCAACAAACTAAGCACAGACGAAAGGAATCTAAAACTAAAGAAACACTTATACACTAAAACTGCAATCTTAAAAAATATTTAAGTTGTGTTAAACGTTCATTAACATTCTATCTCCTAGGAAAAGTTAATTTTATTCCATTAGAATATTCAGTTCAGTTTGAATTTTTTTGTATATAAATTGTATATTTATGTGAATTAGGCGAGTTACTTTTTTTTGGGTCTATGAAAAATAGAAAAACAGAAAAATTTGTATTGTATAAAATTTTAAATTATTTACAAATATTTCTTATATAGTTATAGTAGTTTTAGAATTAGAAATTACAAGGGTCTACAGAACAATATCTTTGCTGAAACGTTGTAAACATTTGTTTAGGAAAAACTTGTTTTTGACAAAAAATTTATTTATAGACATTATTGTTATCGAAAATAGTTTTTCGAAAAAAAATTTTTCCAAGAAAAATTTGATATCGAATCATTTTTCTGTACAAATATGTTGTTATCGAACAAAAAATTTGTTATCAAACTATTTTTCTACAAAAAAAAATGTTATCGAACTATTTTTCTATTGAAAAAATTGTTATTGAACTATTTTTCTATAGAAAAAATTGCTATCGAACTATTTTTCTATAGAAAAAATTGTTATCGAACTATTTTTCTATAGAATAAATGGTTATCGAACTATTTTTCTATAGAAAAAACTGTTATCGAACTATTTTTCTATAGAAAAAAATTTTATCGAACTATTTTTCTACAGAAAAAATTGTTATCGAATTATTTTTCTACAGAAAAATTTGTTATCAAATTATGTTTCCATAGAAAAAATATGAATTCGACGACATTTTACTAAAATTGTAGATATTTTCAAATTTGTAGACCCAGAGTTTTGCTGATTTTTTTTTTAAATTGTTTTATCTTTGCCTTTACTATGTATCTGCAATTTGAAACAATATTTTGTTTGTTTTGAACTTATAGCTGCAAAAAAAAATGTTTTTTTTTCTAAATTACTCCATGGCATAATCATCCCAGTTATACCAACCACCTGTTCTGTTTGTGCCAACCATAAACTGTGTAAAAGTTGATGATGCTGGGATTGCCTTGTTTTTTCCTTGCCGATTTGTAGCAATGTCATTACCATCAATGGACGACTTCATATCCATTTGTGTACTATCGAAACGATTCAAGGGGTTACAATTATCCAACAATGAATGGGCATTTGCATATGTGGAGGAAATGGAACAAGCTTGGTCGAGATTTGCATGGCTGTTATCGGCAGCATAATCTTCATGTGACTTTTTACGTTTTAAAATTGCGGCATGCAATTCGCGGGAACAGCTATGGCCTCTTGACTGGGCACGCTGTACTTGTAAAATTGGTTCATATTCATATAGCTGGCTAGTATAGAAACGATCCAAATCAGCTTTGTTGTAAAATTCTTTAAGGCGGGCAAAGGCATTGCTGTAATCGAAATAAAGGTCATTTTTCATTTTTTACACAGTGATATTGAGGTTAAACTTCAACTTACCTAAAACTAATATTATGTTTATACATTAAGTAGGCAACAATGATGGTTAGACATTTCTGTTCGCCACCATTACAGTCAATTACTAAAATGGTACCACCACGCTGCAGGGCTTTGTTGATAAACTTAACCGCCCTATAACAGTTGGGTAGCACGGTTGTTAGATATGATTTTTCGCCAAAATTCAAATCGATAACATCAAACTCTTTGCCAAAATTTAATGCACCACCACTTGGACTGGGTTCGTAGTCGTCATGAAGATCACTTGAGGTCGATCTGTTACTGCCGTGTGCAGTATCATCATTACGGCAAAGTTTGAAAATTTCAAGCTGTTGGTTTGGATAGTAAAGTTCCTGTATGTGTTTATCAATAATGATGACATGTGTAAAACCATGAGCCCGAAGTTGTTCCTTTTTCCATGATATGAAATTTTTTGTCAGATATATGCCAGGCATTACATTCTCCACCATCAAATCTGTGTGTCCCGAGACCGGTGGGGACTGTTGTCCAATTGTTGAAGTCGTGTTAAACATTGTTGTTTGATTTAGTGCAGCCGAATTTCGAGGCATAGAAGTATTTGCGGTATTGTGGTTTACAATTTCCTGTTCCGTGTTGAGTGGTATTTGCTGTGCATTAGATGTTAAAACATGACTGACGGACGATTCAAATGACATTGTATCAAAATTATTAAATTCTTTTGAAGTCAAAGTGAAAATTTTGGGCAGTGTCTAAAAATAAAGCAAAAGAAAAGTAAAAAAATTATAAAATATTGGCATAAATTTGTTAATTTTTTTTATTGTTTAAATACGATTTTTAAGATAAAGATTATAAAATTGTTCAACATTGAAGATGGTTTAAAAAAATTCCTTTGGGAAGATATTATGGCTTAACGCTAGTTTAGTAAAATCTCGGTCTTTTTATTTTTTTTTTGGCCCGGGGTTCAACCTGCGTCATAGACCCGGACTTTTGGATTGAATATGGGGGTCCGTCCCCAAGAAAAAAATATTTTTCCGGGATCAGGGTGCAAATATTTACCTCTCTAAAAATCCGAGAGTTGTTCCGGTAATATATGCACAGACAATTTTCTGTCTTAAGCTGCAGTGTCCCTTTCGAACTTCAAATACCAAATTTGAAACAATTCCGGTGAATAATGTCGCTAAAATCGTCAAAATACCAAATATAGGGAGGAACCGTTATATAGGGGCTGTAAGAAGACGTGGACCTGCACAGACAATTTTCTGTCTTAGGCTGTAATATCCATTTCGAACTTTAAATACCAAATTTGAAACAATTCCGATGAATAATGTTGCTAAAATCATCAAAATACCGAATATCGTGAGGTACCATTATATGGGGGCTATACGAAGACGTAGACCTGCAAAGAAAATTTTCTGTAATAGGCTGTAGTTTTCATTACGAACTTCAAATACCAAATTTTAAAAAATTCCGATGAATAATGTCGCTAAAATCATTAAAATACCGAATATCGTGAGGTACCGTTACATGGGGACTATAAGAAGACGTGGACCTGCACAGACAATTTTCTGTAGCAGGCTGTAGTATCCATTTCGAACTTTAAATATCAAATTTGAAACAATTCCGGTGAATAAAGTCACTAAAATTGTCAAAATACCGTTTATCGGGAGGTACCCTTACATGGGGGCTATACCAAAACGTGGAACTACATGGCCCATTTTCAATACCAAAAGTCCTGCAAACATAATATACATTTGAGTAAAATTTAGAGTGATTTCCACAGACGGACGGACATTTCTAAATCGACATAGAATTTTATGCTGATCCAGAATATATATACTTTGTGGGGTCTAAAATGTATATTTCGAGGTGTTACAAAAGGAATGACAAACTTAATATAACCTCCACATTATGGTGGAGGGTATAAAAGCAATACAGCGTTTGTTTGTTTGTTTTCATTAACGGGCAACAGATTAAAAAAAGTCACAAAAATAAAAACAAGAAAATAGCAAAGAAGAAGGTGGAGAACTCATTCCCCACCGACTAACCAAGCAATGGACGAAAAATAAAGAAAATATCTCGCTTCTCGCTCTATCAACATTGACCTCGTTTGTACCTCAAAAGAGGGAAAATAATGGAAACTTTAATAATGAAAACAAAAAAAAAAGAAAACACAAAATAAGCAAAAAAATATATAATAATTATAAAATTTAACTCACCATTGTTTTGCAAACATACAAAGTTATGCATTTAGTAAATATTTATAGACATTTTCTCCAAAAAAAATTGTAATTATTTTACAAACTGCTGTTTCCAACAAAAAGCAGCCCTCAATTAAATCGCCTTTGTAGAAAGTTTTCTTTGCAAAAAATTAACTTGTTTCGCTTTTCTTTATGACCGTCGCAGCAGCTACACTTTACTACACTACAATAACTTTACGGCGTTTGTTTTGCTTCTTTTTCTTATCGGCTTCTGTTTTTACTGTTATTTTCCCCCTTTGTAATAAGGCTGCAAATTATTATTTTGATGTGTTAGGAAAAATCACACACATTTTACGCCGCGCCGATTCCTACGTTGTTGTACAAACATATTTTTGTTGTGTCTGCTATGGTTTTTTCGCGCAATTTTTTGTTTCTTTTATGCGTTGCTTCCCATCCAAATGCTCACTGCTGCTGCTTCTTCTTCTCCTTTCACATATAAAAAAAGCCTTGACTTTTAATTCGAAATAATTGTGATATATATGTTTTGTTTCTTGTAAACTATATAATTTTTAAGGTATGATGTTATTGTAGTTTTAAATTCTACAGTGGAATTTCTTAAATCTGAAAATATTTAATTGTTTTCACTAGTTTTGGTCGTTTCTTGTGTGCGCTTTCCTATTTTCTTTATCAAACTAGGGATCTGGAAATCCATTCATTCATAAAGGAATCTATAAATCGACTATCGCTTACGCTTACAAAAAATCGTTTATTTTGCAATCGACTTTTCAGTCCTCATAGAGCGTTTACATAGATTTTGAGATAAATTACTGAACAATGGAATAATTACAATAAATTTAACGTTACATAGTCAAAGTAATCATCGTGGTTAACCAGATAGACATTTAAATATGCAGAACCTAAAAACTGAATTAATATTTTTAAGGAACGCGCATTATTTATGTAATTATGTTTACAGAACAAGTGAAATAATTAACATACGGATAATATATAGGGTGAGATGAAAAAACTGCAATCAACTTCAGACTGCTGTCATTTCAAAGCCACACGCCCGACAGCTGTTAAAATTATTCCAGCTCATTATATTGTTTACAAGCGTACAAAAGCATTTAGCTGAGAATTTTCCAGAATAAAGTTATTCGTGATGGAATTCAAGCGTGATAGTGTGATTTCTTTATATTTGGCTGGAAAGCCACAAGTGGCTATCGTTAGAGCACTCCAGCATTTAAATGTGAATAAATCTTGTGTGACTCGTACCATCGCTCGTTACCGTGATACTGGTAGCGAAGCCGCCCGACGTCAAGGAAGTGGACGGAAGAAAACAGTAACGTCACCAGAAATGGTTCCAAAAGTAAAGAAGCTGCTTGATCGAAACCCGCGTCGCAGTGGCAGAAAATGGCTCGTGAGCTAAACATATCGCAATATTCCATTCGGCAAATATTGAAAAATGAGCTCGGGATAATAAAGCCATTGAAATTCCAAAAAGCGCAAGAACTTACACCGCAACAGAAAGAAAATAGACTCAAAAGAGATAAAGAGTTGCTTCGTGCCAAAGGCGACCAATTCCTACAAATCCAAACTTGTTCTAAAATTTGATGCTATTTCCGATATTTCTTGCTTTCATTCAATAAAATTAAAAAAATGTCAAAATTATGACATTGTTGCTGTTTTTTTTTATCTCACCCTATATATGGTAATCGGATTGCAGCATGGTAGAAGAATATAGGTAGTCGCATCGACACAGCTCACGCTTTTTTGAGTGACTGAAGTCATCGACTGGCTTCATCGGAAAAGAACAAAGGAGCATAGGGCCAAAATCGAACTAAGTCAACCTAAAACTCTTTGTGCCTCTACGAAGAGGCCAGCCCATGATCCAAGTATAAGGGTGGAAATACATAAAGCGCATATTTGACTGGCTTAAGTCACCGGCTGGCTTCTTCGTAGATGAACAAAGAAGTATTAGGTTGACTTAGTTCGATTTTTGCCCTAGGCTCCATTGTTCATTTCCGAAGAAGCCAGCCAGATAAGCGCTTTATGTATTCCCGCCTTAAGGTCCCCCTTCCAGCTCAGCTGATTACCAAACGATCTGCCAATTAAATTTTGAGTTCGCTGCAACCAAAACCAGCTTCAAAACCATGGTAGACGAATACAGGTAGCGGCATCACAAAGCTGCTGGAACAATGAAATGTCAAACCAATTTTAAATGAAAAATTATTCAAATTTTTCAAAAATTGTTGAAAAATGCATATCATAACAACCTCCGATTGGTGTCGTATAACATAACTTATAAAAATGTTTTTTTTTTTGAAGAAAAAAAAAAAACATTTTAATTTTTTTACATATCAATGTTCCCAAGCATTGATACATCTACCTGTATCCTTCTACGGTGCAGCAGAGCTGCAAACATATTCGCCACAAAATTCTTCTGTCAAGGCGAAAATATTTATTTTCACCTTAAGCATGAATTTTGACAAAGAGGACTTTATAATTGGGCCATGGGCCAGCCAATGACTTAAGTCAGCGAGGAAAGCGTTTTATGTATGCTCACCTTTGAATTGGCGTCGTATAAGAAAACATATAAAATTATTTATTTTAGAAAAGAAACTCTTAAACAAATTGACATATCAATGTTCCCAAACGTTGATACGACTACCTGCATTCTTCTATGAGAAGCTTGAAGTCATGACTAGGCATTTTTTGTGACATTTCATAAAGGGATTACAGAGCCGCACTTAAATCCTGCCGTCGTTTTCCATTATAATTTGACATTAATATGCCTAGCCATGACTTCAAGCTTTTTATGTACTTGCACCTTAAATACTGAGAATATTTGAACATTTTTTTTACTTTAGAAAAACTACTGTTGTCAAAAAAATCAATAAAATAACAACAACCAATTGAGAATATTTGAATTTCATGTTAGTGGTCAGCGCCATCCCTTCCGTTTTGGCGGCCATCCATTAAATTGAGAAGACAACCTTCGGGGGAAATTAACATACACGTGTGATATGATCTCGTTTAAGTTGGAGTACTTTTTTATGTATGTATGTATATTAATGCGTTTAATTTGGAAAGCCGTACAGAATATATAACTTGCCAGAATTGAATGTTTATTTATGCATTACTTCATGGTATCTATGAATATTTTGTAATGCTGATGACTTTTGTGTGTAAAATAATACTTTTTTTATCCATTCATTTGCCGAAACATAACCGGGAAGTTTTCCATATTCCGAAATTGGTAAGTTGGCCCACCAAATTGTGTTTACCAACAAAATTAAACCCATTTCTAAGCAGTTTCATTTACACCACACTAATTGCAAATGCTAACAACAACTTCACACTTAATTGTCTATTTGTTTTATTGATTAACAAATATGTATCGATTATTTCGAACCCGCCCCCAAAAAGTGATGGGCACAATGTAAATAAATAGGTTTGTATCAACATTTCATATTTTTTATGATTTGACGCGAGAGGAGAGAGATTTCACAAACTTGGCGTTTACATATGTGCTGTCACTTTTATTATCCATGCGTATTTCCATGTGTATGTCAAAATAGCCATTTTGCATATGTTTTTTTTACTTCTTTTGGTTAAATTGTTTTATAAAAAAAGTATAATACCATGGTCAACAAATATAGGTAGATGCATCAACGCTCGGGAACATTTTCAAATATAAGTAGATTTTTATATGTTTTCATATACGAGGTTAATCAGATGTTATTATAATATGCGTTTTTGAAAAATTTTTACAAATTTGAATAATTTTTCATTCATAATTTTCAATTCCAAAATTGGTTTGACAGTTCATTGTCCCATAATATGTGTCGATGCGTCTACCTGTGTTCTTCTACCGTGTATACTACTTTAGGCATGACTTTTTAGCGCAAATTTAACTTTTACGCAACAAAGAAACAACACTTTTGACGGAAACAGGGCTTGCTGTGATCGAAAAAGTACATATGCACTTTACTCATGTTTTTACAACTGAAATATCGTCCATGTATCAAACGATGTGTGCAACTTCTACATATCGAAAATTTGACACTACATATGTAAAACTTTTATCGCCTAATAACAACTTTAGAGAATTGCACAACTGATTGCAATGCTCTGAAAACTTTATCAGACGGAAGGAGTTTTACATACAGGGTGAGATAAAACAAAAATGCAACAAAGTCAAACGCCATAATTTTTTTTTATTTTTTTTTAAATTTTATTGAATGAAAGCAAGAAATGTCGGAAAATTTTGAATAAGTTTACATCTGTTCGAATTGAACACCTTTGGCACGAATTATGGCCTTCAAACGGCCAATGAAACCGTCACACGCTGACCGAATGCTGGTCTGCGGCATTTTGGCCCATTCTCGGCGAAGCGCTTGCTTGAGGTGATCGACACTTGGGAATTTTTTAGTGCCAACCTTGCTTTTCAAAATACTCCTGACAAAACAGTGCAACGGATTGGTATTCGGAGATTTTGGTGGCCATTGTGCGCTGGAAATGAAGCGAGGAACCTCATTTTTAACTATTCCATTGGGTGGCGCGTGCTGAGTGCGATGGTGCTGAATCCTGTTGGAATGTCAAAGGTCTGCGGCCAAAATGTTTGTGTACCCAAGGCTTTAATACACCCTCCAGAATATTTTCGCGATAACATTCGGCATTTATTCTGATGCCACGAGCGGACAACGATTTTTTTCCATCGGAGAAAACCAAGTTCGGCATTTCACCACTTTCGGCCAAGCTCTTTTGAGTCTATTTTCTTTCAGTTGCGGTGTAAGTTCTTGCACTTTTTGGAATTTCAATGGCTTTACCCCGAGCTTAGTTTTCAATATTTGCCGAATGGAATATTGCGATATATCAGCTCATGAGCCATTTTTCGGCCACTGCGACTTAGGTTTCGATCAAGTCGTTTCTTTACTTTCTGCGAATATCATAAAGGGAAAAACTGGAAGTTCTAGAACAGACCATTACCATTTCCATCACAATTCCTGTCGAAAACGTTGTTACCATAGTAGAAGAATACAGGTAGTCTCGTCGACACAGCTGCTAGCATAATAAACTGTCAAACCTATTTTGGAATTGAAATTTTTGAATGAAAAATGGTTCAAATTTGTGAACATTGTTAAAAAATGCATAACAACCTCTGATTCGCGTCGTATAGGAAAACATATACAAATCTACTTATTTTTGAAGAAACATTAAAATTTTTTGACATATCAAGGTTCTCAAGCGTTGATGCATCTACCTGTATTTTTCTACCATGCCCCAACATGACATGACGAGTAAATTAATCTCAGTTTATTTGCAAATGAACAATTTGGGATATCTTAAATACATTAATGCAAATGGAGTTTTTTTTAATGAATTATGTATATATTAATGTATTCGAAGTGTTATTAAAATATTTTCGTTAGCGAGAAGCTCAAAATAGAGTTAAATATATAAATACCTATGAACCTAACATGATTTTAGAATAAAAAATACTAACACACTCAACAACTGCGTTTTTCTTCTCTCCCTCTCTCTCGGACCAAATTAATTGACCACACTCAGCCTTTATGAGGCAGCTCATAAACAACCAAAACAAAACAAATAGTGACACTCTCACAATGATTGTTTTGAAATTAAAATATCTACGCAGAACAAACAAATCTATGGA